CCCCATGAATTCGATTCCCACCTGCCCTGGAGGTGACCACATGGCGCCGCAGACCTCTCCTGGCCTGCCCACTGCTCCCCTCAGCAGTGTACTTCATTGATCTGCCTGTCCTGCTCCCCACTCTGTCTCTGGTGAATCCTCTCACTGCCGCTGCACCTCTGGCCTGTACCCCAGTTCTGTATGCACAAGTAAATCTTAAAAAAAAAAAAAGTCCAATTACCTCACTAAACATAATTTTAAAATGGGAAAATTCTTTAGTATGACTATTGTAGAGAAGCTTTCATTAATCATCACATAGTGAATAGGGAAGAGAAATTGCGCAAACTCTTCTAGGACAGAAATGCCAAGTCACTAGTTATGACTGACTGAAAACATCTTGACAATTGTTGTCAGCTATTCTATCACATTCCATAACAACCCAGAAGGGCAGAAAGTGATGAACTGATGTTATTCTGTCTAATCACAATATTGGTTCACTTAAAAAATACAAAAGGATTCTTTCCTAAAAGGTGTGTGGGGAGAGACGCAGGAGATCAAAGAATGTTAATATCTAGACATGTGTAACTTCAGACAAGTTGCATGGAACTATACTATACTGTGTTAATCTGCAAATGAATCTCTCAATTTGTGTTTCTCTAAGGAACTACCAGAAATTTTTACCTACTTAAATTAAGTAGCAACTATATTCACAGTCATTTAATGACTCCAGATCAGTGGAAATTCAGGATGAATCATGAGGCAGAAAAAACTTTTAAACTTAGTTTTAATCAAGTTTATCAACAGCTAATATTAAACTTGATCTTAAGCAAGTTTATCACAGCTAATAATCACCAACAGCTAATAATCACCAAAGGCATTCTAGACACACTAGTATTCATGTCCATAATCTTAAACCGGGACTTCCTGCTCAAAGAATGGAGGATGTAGGAACATCAGATTTCTCTGGCTGGGCTCAGGCTGATACAAGTCCACAAAGAACTATAGAAAATTTCACTTTCAACTAACTCTATTAAATTGAGTGAGAGTTGGTAGAGGAATGGGGCTTGAAGAATTCAAGTCACTCACAAGCTGTCAACATAAAGCTATCTGCCCACATGGAACCAGTCACATCACTAGTCCACACACTGCTGTTGCCACGTTAGGCTGCTCACACTAAAGGGAATACACTCAGGAATGTTGGCACAAAGGCCGAGATAGAATGGCTGTGTCTGGTGGTCTGAAACTGATTCTAGCATTGAAAAGAAGGAAAGAGAGGAAGAAGGCCAGGCTATTTGGCATAATTGCTAAAAGCATTCCATAGTAAGTGACCAGTGACTTTTCAGAACCAGTTCAAGACAAGCGCCAATTTTAAGTTCAGATATCTCAAACTGCTCTTAGCTCTTTCTCAATCTTCAATCCAAACAAGCCACTCTTGGGTGGTTATTTGTAACAAAGAGAGTGCTAAACACTTTTTCTAATAATGAGCCTTTAGGAATAGTGTAATAGTTTTTTATGTGAAATTGAATTTTTAAGGGTTTAATTAGTGTAGCATCACTATCGCAATAAAATCACATTTAAACATTATTTGAAATAATATAACTGTCAACATTTCAAACTATATAGACCATCTAACCATTTGAAGTTGGGAGATCAGGAGAAACATAAACCATTTTTACATTGTAGTCACACATCTGGATTCCTTTAGCTGCTAAGCACCATCATTTTGAGTATGGTCTAGCCAGCACTGGGCTAGAATTCCACACCTTGGCACTGGGTGACTTTGGAGCTTCTCATGCTGTGATTTAACACTGAATTTCATTAACATTTAAATTCTTTTTAATATTTTATACTACCTACTCACTAAGTAATAGTACTAGTCCAAGTACTGAGCAATACACCTAAAATTTCAGGATTTAGAATTTATAATGAAAATGCCAGGAATGTGCTACATGAGATAATTCCCACAGCACAGATCACACTGATATGAGAGAACATAATAATGTAAAATACTGAAGTTTTGCTATAAAAATTAATTACGAAAAGGTAAACTTCTGAACCTATAAAAATACATCCAATAGCTTAGGTAAGATGTTTTAAAAGATCAGGAATGCATAGATCTATGAGCCAACATGTTATCTGGCTAAGACATGAAATATTTTGATGCTCTGAAAGTAGGTAAAGAAAATTTGTGAGAAGCTTATATTGAGTGATCTGATCCACTAGCATCGGCCTAGGACTTCAAATTAAGGACAGAGTCTTTAGACATGTGCATGTTCTGTAAACAGCAAACAAGGGTTAGGGTGGGTTAATCCATCTAGGGCTTGGGAAAACACATTTCAACCCTTTGCTACAATCTGCCTTGAGTCACCCCTTTTACAAGAAAGTACTGCAGGGAGGAGAAGAGGCCACCTCTCTCACTCACGGAGTTAGCAGTTGGGAGGATGCTACGGCTTTTCCTCTCTCCTTGTGGGGAATGTGAAGTATCTTCCCCTGTCCTGCCCATTAAGTAATCAAGTGAGAGGAACAGATAATCACTAATATAAACTGGATACCTGCTGGAAAGGAACTTGGGAGGTGGCCCTTGTTAGGACATCTGTTAAGGTGGAAACAAGATGACATAATCAGATGGCTACGAAGGGCAAGAACTGAAGAAGTTAAGACAGCTGGCTTTGTCTCATATGCACATATGCATATCCATATACGTCTTCCACATACACAATCTTCTGGGAAGTTCCCCACCCCTTGGGGACTTGTACATGGGTTGCACAAGAGGCCCAACATGTGGATGTTCACTGGTTGAGGGTGAAGACTGACCATCACCGCTGGCAAGAAAACCAGGAATAAGCACAGAAAACAGGCGATGAAGACAGATGATGGCCATACCCCCTTTCTGTAATAAATGGATAGCAGGGAAGAATAGAAGAAATGATTACTCCCTCCCAACTCCAAGTTCATTCGGTGAAAGCTATGTCTTAATATGAAAGTGAGATTGGAATTTTAAACTTGACCGTGCCAGGTTGCTTTTCAAACAATAAAAGGGAACAAGATGTAATGATGCCAATCCAAGCTGTGACAGAGGTGGCTGCTATTCAGTCTAAAGAGATTCATAGGGCACATCTGGGATTAAAAACTGCAGGATATGAAATTTTTTCATGTACATATTCGATGGAATTAATACTGGAAGTACTGTGACCAATTCAATAAACCACTCACACAAATGTTTCTTGTGTTTAAGGAATATTATTAAAAGAAAGAAGAATGCTATCACGGTTAAAGCATTGTTTATCATCTCTCCTCTCATTTACATATTGACATTTTGGAACTAGAAGACTCTGGGATTTGAAAGTCTTCAGGAACTGGCATTTGGAAGAGAATATGAAACTCTCTCTCTTATACAATCATCAATGACAGTAGGTCCATGAGGACCTTCTGTAACGAGGGCATTCCCAAGAGGTATTGAAGCATAAGTATGGCTATGATTGCTGTTTGAAATTAGTGAAACAAAACCAACACATCCAATTATGTACTACAAAAAATGAAAGAGAGATATATTGGGTTCTGAGTTGATCTAATTATAGAGGTCTTCTTTACACATCCTGGAGTAGCAAGCATATATAAAACAGTACCTGAGTCATGATTGTGAAGATGTTGCCCAAGTTGACTACCACCTTTTATGAATGACCTGACTGCATTTGCATTATCAGCAGCAAGAGTAACCATGTAACTAAATTTGGTGCAAAAAAATGATGAATGAGAAAGAAATAATCAAGATGAATAGTAAGTCCAAAGACCTGTAGAATTCAAGCAACTGTAGTGCGAAGAGACACATCTTGCAAAATAAATAAATAAATAAAGCATAGAAGTATCCAGAGAAAGAACACAGGGACATTCATAGTGATAAATCACAACCTTTGGCTTCAAAACAATCTGAGATACACAGTCCACCTGAGGAATAACCAACTCTTCCAGCTGTAGCAACTGTAAGTTCTAAGTGAATGTGAACTGAAAAGAGATGAGAAAGGCAGTATCTCTAAATGTTTAAAGGTGTGCTTTGGGATTCGTACCATGTTTGTCTTTTATCTGAATGTTCAGATTACAAATGCTTATTGCTGCTAAAAAATATATACCATCATGGGCGATACATTAGTTTTGTATAGAATATAAAGGATAAATTGAAGTTACAACAATCCACCTTGAACAGCACTGAGCCAACTTAATAATTAGAATGGCTACTCTGAAGTCAAGTAGTAGTAAAAAGGTAACAGTCATGATCTATTCAAAGTGGCCATTTTCCCTGAAGAAAGCTGCTCACTCACCAGGTAACAAATGCCCAGCCCTTGTCCTAGAATTCTGGGTATTTGGATCCAATCTTTCTCTCATTAGCTTCTTGTGGGACCCTATGTCTTATACATATGAGACCCTTTTCGTCTCCTGAGGATCAGGCCGATGACTTTCAAGGTTCCTTTAGCATGACCTCTGACATCCCTATGTTACTCCATTGAGAATTTTTAATGCACGTTTTCTAGTTCTTGGTACATACCATGGCAGGTGGCAATTGACAATGAGAGAGAAATGTGACATTTTTTAGGTAATGAAGGACAATATGAGATATATTTTAAAAATACCTGTTTAGGCTGAGCTCCCTTTGAGAGAATGTCAAGTAAGTCTGCAGAAGAGATGAAATAGAAGCGTGGAAAAGCCACACGCTTGGTTTCCAGGTATTTAGCAAGAGACTTTTCACAAAGAGAAAGCCTATATGAATAAAATAATCTTTTTAAGTTATGTCTTGTTCATTCAGTTATTAAATAGTCAACAAAACCCAGCTTCCCTCCTCTGTCCATTCATCATACTGAGCTTTCTCTAACAGGTAATCTACCTCCTTCCCCTTGACATCATCATCTTGATGATGACGAATGTACTAGTCATGCCAGGTACACGTGCACCTACGCCACATATCCTATTACCTCAGGCGAAGTAGAGATAAGATTTAGGTTTAAGTAACTCATCACTTTACTCTGTGATACTCCTCATCAACAGGGAGAAAACTAGGTTTGGAATCACTCAACCTGAGCACAAAATACACTAGTTAAGCTACAACGGGTATAAGTCTTCCTTTTCCCATTGAATAGCTACAAAACATAAGTGACTAGAATGCTCCCTAATCACAAAATTGAGACTCATTCCCACTGCATTGTTCTTATTAGCAGAGCAGAGATGACCCAGAGGCAAGTCCCTAAACTCCCAAAGGTCACTGACTAAACAGAAATAATTAACTGCTGTAGCAATCCATTCCTTTAAAATTATGGTGATTTTTTTCTCTAAAACTTCTAGATTATAAAATAATTATTAGGTAATATGTACTTTTTAAAAAATCCATATCTGTGCCCTACCTTCCAAAGAATGTCATCATAGTTTTACATGGAATTCTTCTTTTAGTAACTGATCTGCCAATTTGCAATAAAAAATCAGCATACTCTTAGGACCAACAGCTGCTGTCAAAGTTATAGTAGTTATGTGAAAACTGCAAATGGCCCTTGAGACAAGGATTTGAACAGTACAAATATACTTTCTAAGAATAATTTTCGTATAATTAAACTGTACACAGACTGGAGCCTCCCTGGTGGTGTAAGGATTAAGCATCAGTGCTATCATGCTATTGCTGCTGCAATATGAGTTCGATCCCCAGCCAGGGGGCTGACCCAGTCTTATCAGCTGTTTCCCTCAGCAGTGTATTTCAGTAGATCTTCCTATTCTGCCCCTCATTCTGTCTCTGGTGAATCCTCTCACTCCCTGTACATTTGGGCTACACCCCAGATATTGTATGTTTAAATAAATCTTAAAAAACAAGAAAAAAATAAACTACGTACAGACTAAAAGATTTAAAATAACTGAATTCTAGTTGCTAAGATATACAAGATTAATAAATAATTGTAGCATTAGTCTGATGAAAAAAATTGGTCACCATGTTGATTCTCTTTGATAAGATATTCTAATTTTACTAAGGACCTTTCAAAAAGCAGAAATATAATTGGACTTAATTGTGTTAATTCACATGGTACAAACCATCTAATATGAATAACATAACTAGACAGCTACAAGCATAAATAGAAAATAATTTAGTAGTGTTTGATTAGGTACCTAAAATGGAGCTCATAAAATTCTAACAAACTGATCACTTTATAGTTTTATTCTTACCTGTACTGTAAGTCTTTAAGTTTTTCATAGAGATTAGGTCTGCATGCTGCTTCTAAAACATTTTTTATTTTAGCTGTCTTGAACACTAATTCCTGCATGAAAGTATAACAAGAAGTCACTGAATTTTAGAAATTTGCACTTTTCAGCCAGTTTTTAATTTTTAAATTAAATAATGAACAGATATAATGAAGCAAATTTTAAGACCACATCTGGTCACTCTTTGGCTTTTAGACTTTTAGATAAATTCAAAAACAAATATGACCACACAGCTTTTGTCAAAATAAATTCCACAGAATGACCAGAATCTGGATCTACACAAAATTTGTCTTCGAAACCAAAATAGGCAAAAACAAACAAAAAAAAACCCAGAAGATTTTAAAATATTTTTCTTTTTTTTACATCATTCTTTGTTTTGTGCATTTTTTCATCTCAGTTGTAATCCTCATGGGCCTCCTCCATCACCAATTCACCCGTGTGCCATCACCACACTCCAGTGCACTCTTTCCATCCTAGTTCTGATCCCATTCCCCCTCCCACCTGCATAAAATGTGTCTGGTTTATAGTTGTTCATTGTTTTCATTTGAGAATACAGAATCTTAAAGTACACATTCACATAAGAAAATCAGATGACTTCTTAACAACCCTGTTTTTCCTTATTTCCTCTTTAAAGGTTAAACAAAATAGAATGCCTCTGGTGGTTGACACTGAATAAGATGACAAAAATATTTCATTCCCATTTCTGTCTGAAAAAGTGTACCAATTATTCTTTGCTAAGGGTCTCTCAAGTCATTTATAATCATGTGTACATTTCTATATATTCTCAGTGGCTTTTCTGAAATAAACAACTGGGAGAGAGACATTTTACTGGTTTCCCCGTCCCAGTCTTTTCCTTTATCATGCCTTGGCAGGAAAGGCAATCTCTGGCCTAAGGGGAAGATCTTGTTTGCTGCCTATTTGTGTATGGCCCAGAAGCCAAGACCGATTTTTATATTTTCAAAGGAAACTTGGTATTTTGTGACACACAGAAATATGAAATTCAAGTTTCAGTATCTGTAAGTGAAGTCCTATTGCAGCACAGCCATGTCCATTTGGTGTCCATGCACTGTATTTTTTTCACTTTATAATGACAACATTAGTTCATATAAAACTGCAAAGCCTAAACTATTTACTCTCTGACCCTTCACAGTAAGTTTTCTGATCCATTAGACAAAATGCAAGCATATATTTATTTTTTAATGTATGCCACCTCAAATTATGTTTCTTTACAAGATTTTCTAACTATTGGGAAAATTTCACTAGGATAGTTACTGGCTCTATACTACTAACCTTAAATTCAGCATCTACTTCATCAAATCTTTTAGCATCTTTCACAAGCTGGATTCGAATGTCTTCTGAACAAACAAAGATACTTTCCAGGTGAGACCAAGTTCGTTGGACTTCCATCCAAGTAAAAATAACAGAGTCTACTATGTTTAATTTATTTTGCCAGCTTAAGACTTGTTCAATGAAATATTCCACATACTTGCTTTGAAGAAGTGTTTGCAACTGAACCTAAAAGAAAGGCAAAGTATTTCCATATGAGCTAAACAGATATAAGGTAGCTATTCTGTTCATTGCTGGATTCCTAAGACCTGTGTAGGCATACCTGGAATTACCAGGCATTGAATAAGTAGTCACGAATTAATGGCATTAAATATTCATAGTAACATTATTTCCAAAAGGAAAAAAAATGCAACTGCATTTTAATATGCTTTCTATAGGAAGATCATGTATCTCTTTCAGAGCAGAAAAGAATATTGTGCACCAGATTGCAGGATTAAGAATTAAACTTTATTCTTCCATCCTTCTTTCACTCTCCCCTGGGTCCCTAACTGTTAACTAATTCAAAGTTGTGAGCTTTTTCCCAAGCAAAAACAAAAAATGCCCTCCAGCCTGTTAGGACCTCAAGCATCCATTTTCCCCTTTTTTCAGTTTACTCCCTCCATGACACCAAGGTTTGCTTTAATCCCATGCACTGTGGGAGCACTTTTCACCTTTGTCTGATATGGAAATCTCAGAAAGCCACTGAGTAGAATGACCTCATCTCATTCTCATCCTTTTTTAGCCCCCAGGATTATTACACTATTATTGCCATACACAATTATGTAAGTTTAAGTGTAGGACAGATGACTTGACACAACTATATAGTATGAAATGATGACCACAGGAAGGTGAGATAACAGTTCTATCGCCTCCCATATGTACCTTTTTTTTGTATTGTGGTAGCATTTAAGATCTATTCTATTAACAATTTCCCAGGGTGTAACATGGTATTGTTAAGTATATTAACCAACTAGATCTAGATTCTAGAACTTACTCATTTTATAAGTGAAATCTGTGCCCTTTGATCATAAATCTCCCCTAGACTCTGGCAACCACTACTCTACCATTTATGAGTTCAGGTTTAGATTCTACACAAAAGTGAGAAAACAGTTTTTGTCTTTCTCTGACTTATTTCACTTAGCACAGTGCCCTCAAGGTCCCAACACTATCACAAAAGGCAGGATTTCCTTCTTTTCTATGACTAAATTCTATTCCACTGTGTGTGTGTGTGTGTGTGTGTGTGGTGTGTTATAGATACCACATCATCGGTCAGTGGACATTTGGATTGTTTGCCTGACATTTGACTCTTTACAGAAAAATGTATTTCTGTGGTTTCCTTGATATTGCTGTATTGTTCTTACTATTTTTGTATCATTCTGCCTACTTTTGTTTTCTCCTCCTGTCCCCCATATGAAATCTTTTCTTAGGCTCTATTCTTAGCTGGGTTATCATTATCTTTCATTATCTAGCTCATCAATCCTCAGGACACCAAGAATAACCTCCCAACCTGAAGTTCTGGATTGAACCTCTGTGCTGAGCTCTGGGTCTGCCTCTCCACCTTTATATACATGTCCTTCATCTAAATACACCAAAAATGATGAGAATCCTTTCTCTGGACCACATTCTTTTCTAAGTGCCTTATGTCCAATAATAGCACTGTTATCATGTCCTCTGAATATTTTGTCTTGTTAATCTTTTCTTACCTCTTCTATCCAAAGGTAACTAATTCCTACAACTATAGGATTCAAGAGCATAAATGATGTTCAATGGATGTCTCTCTAGCTTTATTTTTCATTCCCATAAAGAAAATCGACATTCCAGGGAAACTAAACTCTTAAAATTACCTTTGAATGGCAAGTACTTTTTGGCATTCTAGGGTTCTCTAACAGCGTCCTCACCACATGTAACACCCTTTTCTGAACACCTTTTTGTACCAAGTATCAGCCCATCCTTCAAAGTTCAGCATAAATAGCAGGACTTACAAATACTTCCTGAGTCTTTCACCCTACCCATTACAGACAGACTTTCTCCTCTTAGGCTCCTTGGCATCCTCCTATCTCTCCCCATTCAAAAAACATTTACCTTTTAAGCCCAAATGGTATCAGTAATATGCCTGTATCCTCGGACAAGTGGATGTTCAACAAATGAATAAACACTGCATATTCAAAGTTAGAAACAGTCTACAATTATAATTTTAAAAGAAAAATATGTCTTACTTGGTTGTGTTCTAGAGTTTCAAAAAGTTGTTCATCAGACTTTAATAATGGGATGCCTGTCCGATAGTGAACTTCATAAGAGAACTCCATACTCGCCCAGGTCTGATTGATTTCTGTAATAACCTACATATGAACAGTCTTAAGTTATGTGTACGAAAGTTCAATCAAGGCTCAATATCTAGGGAGACATCTAGAGTTGTTTTTTTTTTTTAAGATTTATTTATTTATGCATATAAAACTGGGTACAGCCAGAGATGCAGGAGCAGTGAAAGGTTTCACCAGAATGGGGTGCAGAACAGGTAGATCAATGACATATACTGCTGAGGGGAACAGCAGGTGAAGTAGGAGAGGTCTGCTGCTCCATGTGGGCCACCTCCAGGGCCGGGGATCAAGCTTGCACTGAAGTGGATGTGATTAGCTTGCAGTGCTGCATCCTAACACATTGCGCCACTGCAATATTTTTAAACTTTTTTTTTTACAATTCCAAAAAAATAGTGATCTTAATTACTGACCTCACTATTTTTCCTCCAAATATCTCATAGAGAATGAATTCATTACACAAAAGATACAAGCATCCCAACAATATCAGTTCTATTTAATCTGAGTTTTACATACTTCACTAAAATAGAACTAGAGCAGTAGATTACTTAAAAGATTGAATAGATTTGCAAATTCATATTTACATATTTGATGGCATGAGACAGGTCTTTGAGTACCTGAATGTGAATTCTAGTTCTGTGTGAACCTGCGTTAAGTTTATTACACCTCAGTTTCCTTTTGAATAGGAAAAAGAATATTATGTGCCTCAGATGATTAGATGAATTAATATAAATAAGGTACTTAGGACAGTGCTTACAACATAGGAAATGATATATGATGGCTTCCACTAACATCATCATCAACTGAGCCAACCCTCTTGTTTTACACAGCAGAAAACAGCCTGGGTCGCACGTCCACACTCCCATAGTATGAGAACTTCTCCCATGTCTGATTTGCTAGTTCCCCAAGGACCGTACCTTTTCAGTCCCGAGTTCTTTAACTGCTTGGTCCACAATGTTTCGGACATCATCTTCCACCTGGTGTAACCGCAAAGCTAACAAATCTGCCAGAGTTGTGGCTTCGTTTATTAAAATCTTGACCTGATTAGGATGAGTGGAAAGGCATAATTTATATTCCACATATATTAATGGCTCACTTTACGTACTTGTCAGAGGAATGAATCACAGCTAAATATACTCAACTCAGCTGGTGAATATGCCATTAATTCTAAAAGGTATGGAAAAACCAGACATTTTAAACTCACAATTACCAAAGCATTAGCCACTGATATGAGGACCAAGGTTTAGGCCATGTCCCCATGGCATTACCTTCAGCTATTACATATCCTTCCCTAGTCAGCTCGTTTCTTATCACCTTTGCCCACATAACTCATTTTTAAAGAGAATCATCGTGTTCATTTACTATAATTTGGTTGAATTCCAGAAATCAGATAGTAAGTAGCTCATTTGTCTTTTCTTCCTAAAGTACCCTATTCCCTGAACATGACTCCCAGTTGCTTCCATAAATTAGCCCAGTTTTAACACTAATCTTACTTCCTTGGCAAAAAATACTCTTATTTACAGTGCCTATTCATATTTACCACTTTCATTTATTTCCTCATCTTCTTGACACCTCACCTCCACCTCAGTATTTGTGAGAAGTTCTGAGTTCTTCCTAACCGGCTAGAATCACCACACCCCTTAAAAATGGAAGCATGGGCCCTCCCTGGTGGCGCAGTGGGTTAAAGCACAGCACTGAGAATCTAAAGCCGCTTCCGCATGAATTTGATTCCCGCTTGCCCCCGGAGGTGACCACATGGCGTGGCAGACCTCTCCTGACCCACCCGCTGCTCCCCTCAGCAGTGTACTTCGTCCATCTGCCTGTTCTGCTCCCCACTCTGTCTCTGGTGAAGCCTCTCGCCGCCCCTGAGCCTCTGGTCTGTACCCCAGTTCTGTACACACAAATGAATAATAAATCTTAAAAAAAAATCTTTAAAAATGGAAGCATGAGGCCCTCCCTCGTGGTGCAGCGGGTTAAAGCACAGCACTGAGAAGCTAAAGCCACTTCTCCATGAGTTCGATTCCCGCCTGCCCCAGAGGTGACCACATGGCGTGGCAGACCTCTCCTGACTCCGCCTGCTGCTCCCCTCAGCAATGTACTTTGTCGATCTGCCTGTTCTGTTGCCTACTCTGTCTCTGGTGAAGCCTCTCACCGCCCCCTGAGCCTCTGGCCTGCACCCCAGTTCTGTATGCACAAATAAATAAATCTTAAAAAAAAATGGCAGCATGAAAGCTATTCCCTTGCCTGATGCTGTTAATATTCACTCCCTGCTTCTGGGTGCTGCAATCCTCTCTTATTCTCCCCTCTCTGCAGCATTCTTCAGCATGCCACCTCTCATTATAGGGGTTTCTGTTTACCTGGAAATGAGGGGTTGCCTAAAGATGGGGACTTAAAGTGCTAAAGTCTGGAGGTCCTCAGAGAACAGGTGACTTGGTCACCCTATTGCTACATTTTTTTTTAAAAGAGATATTACGTATGCATGCAAGAACTGAAGTACAGACCAAAAGTGCGGGGGTAAGGGGATTGACCAGATAGAGTGGGGAGCAGAACAAACTGACTTAAGTACACTGCTGAGGGGAGCAGCAGGGAGATAGGAGAGATCTGCTGTAGCATGTGGGTCTCCTCCCTGCCCGGGGATTGAACTCTATGGATAGTTTCACCACTTTTGGTCTCTGCACCACTTTTGACCTTATTCCAGAATTGATGGGGCCAGGGATCTAGTTTTTAGAGAAAGGACAGAAATGCTCATAACTGCAGAATTTCCTCTTCCACTAATTCATTTCTATATTCTGACCCTTTCCACAACATCCAAGATTCTTTACAGCCCTGTTGTGCTTTACAAAACGCCTTCACATTATTTTACTTGATTCTTACAAAATCCTCTGATATGTAAGAGTAGATAATATCCCTTTCAATATTGAAAATAAAACAAACCTCAAAATAAATTGCCTTGTTTGAGTCACATAGCTGCTAAGAGACAAAGCTGTCTTAAATTAGGGATGCTTTAACAGACTACCATATGCTGGGTAGCTCAACCAATATCGATTTATCAGTTCTGAGGGCTGCAAAGTCTGAGGCTAGGGAGACAATATGGATGGGTTCTTGATGAAGTTCCCAAGATTGCTTTAGAGGTGCCTGTTATCTTGTAGCTGGAAGAGAACAGAAAACTCTGGCCTCTTCATGCCTTCTAAGGGCTCTAATCACATTCATGAGAGCTCTACCCATGACCTAATTATCTCCCAAAGATCCTCAACTCGAAATGCCGCTGCACTGGGGATACAAGTTATATGAATTTAGGGGGAGGGCATGTTTAGGCCATAGCATGGGGTCAAAGCTAGGATCTTTGCCTGTCCAGTCTACTGGTCCTCTTTCAAGATTGACCTCTCCCATTTATCCAGAGACCCTTTAAAAAACCTCATTTCAACACTCCACAGTCACAAACATATCCAGTTAATCATACATAGAAGCTGACTGACCCCAGTGGTCTGCATCAGCTGGTGCCAATGCCTGGCTCTGAGGGCCGGACTCTGCAGCTCTGCGATGGCCCTCAGGGAGGTCGCCATGTCCTTCACAGTGCTCTCCAGGCCTGCATAAGCATCCCAGGCACGGACTTCCTTGTCTAGTGACCAAATTTCCTAAAGAAAAATGAGAAAAATATAAATAGCTCCCTACACATAATAGTACATTTTGTTAATTCACCTCCTTGGAAAGAATAAATATACATTTCTCTGGATCAGGAAAGAGTTGATGCATTTAATTCCTAGATTAAGGACTGAACCCAGACACTGAAAAAAGACTCCATTCATTTATATGTTCCCAGTCCACTATGTACAAACTATGGGGATACAATGGCTACAGAGTCACTGGTTTTAGCTGGATGTCCCATGAGACGTTATAGGTAGGGATATATCAAATTTACTGGACAGGTGCAATGAAGAATACTTCCTCTAGAAACAAAAATAAGCAAAAACACTAAGACCTTCCTCTAAACATGATTCATTAAAATGGAAGCTTTGAAATGTTGGTTTCTTGGAACTTAAAGATTTCATTATTTTAAGATATGTTAAATAGGGTCCTTGACTGGTGTTCTTGGCCCTCAGAATGACATTATCACAAATGAGGAAGCCCATAGTAAAACAATCTCAGCATAAAGAAAAATATGAGGTCACTTCTCAAAAAAAGAAAAGAATTTCACCCGAGCTTGGAGAAATCAAATGGTAGAGAAGGAGTAAGTACAGAAATGAAACAGTGATCCCACAGCATCCACAAAAAAGGTAGGCCATTTTAGTCAGGTTCCTTGGAACTTGGGTAACATGGGAGGAGAAGGCAAAGGAGTAGGTAGGAGTCCACTGCTCAGGAGGGGGTTAGCATGCTCTGGAGGCGGGGGAGAAGCTTGTGCCCTGCCATTGCCTAACTGCTCTTTCCTGCTGTGCAACTTGACTATATCCAAAGACGCTCTACTCTCTTTAAAAGGGGTACAGGAACTACTGATAGAAACCACAGCACTAAATTAATATGTGCTCAGTATCCTTGGGATACTGGAGTAAAGCAATAACATGCACACAAGCCCGAACATTCCATATAAATCACAAGTGACCACTCCAATTGTTGCCCCAAATTCCAGAACCTTTTAAAATACAAAATAGTTGTAAGGAAAGAATTCCAAAGCCTAACTCTGATATTTTTTAATTTTCCCCTTTATTCTAGACAGCCATAGGAAGCTATGGTAATAGTTGTTACCCACCAATGCTTTCGTCTTAATATGCTTCTATCTACTCGCTCACAGAAAGGCAGGCTTAATTAAAAGTGCATCTGGCTGAGAGTGGAAAAAAAAATATGGTCTCATATCATCCTGTTTGAAGTAAATAAGGACACGCGCCCAACACACCAGATATGAGGAAGATGGAAAGAGGTGGTGCTGGGAAAGATAAATTGTTATAATAGACAGTTATAGAACTTGCCTTGGCAAACCTTCTGAGTTCTACATCCATCTGTTCCACATTAATCTGTCTCCACTGGGTTTTAGTCCAATTATCAATGCTTCTCTGAAAACGTACAAGCAGATAAAAGTGTCAACAACATTTGGTAAAAGCAAGACTCCACAGCAAATTATATAAACTGATGATATACAATGACTCTACCATCTAGTGCAAAATCAATTATTTAAATATAAACTACACTTGTCAAAACTTCTCTATCACTAAAACAAAAAAAGTGTCAAAACATGTCAAACTTAAGGCTAAAGCATCTTGACATATCAATCTCTAGGAGCAATGACAAATTCCATAAATATTGTCATTTAAACGGAATACTTTGAGTTAAAAAGTATTTTACCATCAAATGCCTGATTCTCAAAATTCTACATAGAATAAGCTCTCATAAGACAATTTTCATCTACTATAAAAAAAACCTCAAACTTTTTGACCATATACTGTCTTGTTAATATATTTCAATGTGACTTTGCAATAACTTCAAAGGAAATTAGATTTAATACTATTCTATGTATCATGTATTATCACGTGTATTTTACATATATATTATATATATAATACTAATGTATGTTATTGTGTAATATGCATAGTTCCCCAGAATTTCTCAATCAAATGTTTTAATGTAATTAACCAGATTCAAACTTATTTTTAGTCAGTGTCTGTTACTTATGTACACAAACACATAGCATGGGTGTACACATGAGTTTGTATCTACAGAACCACGTACATGTTACATATGTAATACAGATTATTATATATATATATATATATATATGAGTGATTTTTTAATCCTATATAATTCCTAAAGAGAATGTGAAACAGTCAATTCACTATACAAAGTTTCATTCAGAACCAAAAACAGAAAAAAATGATACTCAGAATTTGCTATTAACAGACACATCAAATTCTAGCTCTAGGGATAGTGACTATCTGATATCTACATGTCTCCAGATCTTAGAAAACTTAAAACAATTTGATACAGACACTAAAAAATTCACATTTACACAAAAAAGAACTACTAGAAGGGCAAAAAACATGTTTTCAAAAAGCAGTGTCTTACTCCAATGTAAATAATGACATCCCAGAGTCCCTTGAGTAATTTCATTTCTTTGCGAGACTGCTTCATTTGTTTGTACTCTGGAAGAGCCACTTCAAAGAGGCGAGTTGATTCTTGCATCTGCAACATTTCTTCTTCTAATGCCTCAAGTTCTTGATTTGCCTGAGGAGGATACATACTCACATGCACACAAATACCCTTTATATCTGACAAGCTACCAAAAAAAGTCAAAATCATTCTGTAGCTTTAATTATGTCAACACTGACAGCTTAGATTTAAAAAAAAAAATAATAAAATTTCTGCAGTATAATTACTGGTGAAATGTAGAAGGCTTTAGAGGGGCAAGCTCATTTATTCAAAAAGTGGGGGTAGACCGTCAATAAATACTATTATATTTTGTCAACTCTCCCTCTGCACATATTCCAGATAAATTTGTTCTGGCATCAGAACAATCTTCTTGATTTTCATTCTACAGCTGTGTAACAAAATGTTGCTCTGGAAGCTTCCACTTAAAATCCATCTCTTCTTTGAAAAATGAAGTGACATGAAAATTTCAGAATTAAAAAGTATCCCAAATCATCAATAGTACAAATGTACTGAGGATAATTCATGAGATAAAATACTGGCACTAAGCGCATAGCAGGGGATGAGATATTTCACCTTGTGATTTTCTTTACCCAAGTTCACTTACCATTCCTGTTTATGTGGAACTTATGTTTATACCAACTATAACTTTTCTTTATAGATAGATCAATTCTGAATTTCAATTCTTACTGAGCAGTATATTTACATGATAAAAACTCAAGGAAAACCTGTGGGCTTACTGACTTTCTGAGAACCTACATTCTCTGACTACCTATCTTCTGCCTTTCTTGATTTTCTTGACATTTCATGAGGTTGCCAACTTTGCAAAAGAAAGATTTAACTTTGCTTTCTCCATTATCCCCTCAGTATCCAGTGCATTGAATATCCAACTAACTGAATTAATTTGATTTTCAACTTTGCATGATCCTAAACCCTTTTGTGTTTCTTAGCACTCTGCTTTCATTTTTACAAGTTATACTTTTATAAACAAGATGTGCAATTTTATACTCAGCTTTACAAAAGTTTACCATGAAAAATTCTACATGCATTAAGATGGTGTGTGTGTCTAAACACCATCCAGTTTAGTATATCATGCAACTAACAACTTTGAAGGGTCATCTCCATCTGACCCCTTTCTGTCCCATTACAAATTTCACCACTGGGTCTAAATTTTATTCAATGTTCTGACTTTTAAATATTCTCACTACATGTGTATATATTGCTAAGTGCAAATCCTGCAAAATTAAGTTTCTGAGACATAGGAATAGATTAATGTCCTATTAAACATTATTTTTTGAGGTGCATTTGTACATTCACAATGCATGCAAAGTCCATTACTACTACAGCATACATTGCATGAATATATAGTTTATTCCACTTCTGATGATTAACAAGTTTTTTCTTCATTTCATGCCTGATGCTACTAGCAATGTTCCTGATGTAAATGTTTTGTGTAGAACTTTTTTACTGAGTGGATTAAAAAGGTCTTCTTGGCCCTCCCCTAGTGGCGCAGCGGGTTAAAGCACAGCACTAAGAAGCTAAAGCCACTTCAGCATGAGTTTGATCCCCGCCTGTCGTGGAGGTGACCACATGGTGTGGCAGACCTCTCCTGACCCACCCGCTGCTCCCCTCAGCAGTGTACTTCGTCCATCTGTCTGTTCTGCTCCCCTCTCTGTCTCTGGTGAATCCTCTCACCCTCTGCATTTCTGGCTTGTACCCCAGTTCTGTATGAATAAATAAATAAATCTTTAAAAAAAAAAAAAAGGTCTTCTAAGAGTTTCTATCAGAATGGATGTCGAGCTATATCAAGATATTTTGGTATTTTTTGAGATTATCATAAATTTCTTTCCTAATCTGTTTTGTGATAAATTATATTTTCTAATGTTTAATCAAACCTCTTCCTAAAATTAACTCAACTTGTTTATAAATCATATTAATACAATGACATTTTAGTTGGTACATTTGCTGCTATACTTAAGACTCCCCAATAATTTTTCTTTTCTCATCGTGTCCTTTTATGAAAATTTGACATGCATCATGGTGACTTTTGAATATACTTTCTTCTTCTTGTCTCTAGACTTAGAAGAATGAGATATTTCTTGAAAGCCCCTTAGAATTTACTGTAACACCATCAAGGGCTAGTAGTCTATCTGCTGTAAGACTTTTTTATCTACTGGTAATTTTTTTTTTCTTTTTGACTTTCCAACTGGTTAATTTTTAATAGTTATAGGACTACATAGATTTACTATTTCTTGAGGCTGTTTGGTAAGTTACCTTTCTCTAACTTTTGTTAGTTAAACTATGATTTTTTAAAATTTCTTCTCTTTCTGTATTATCACTCTCTATTTCTAAGACTTGTTACTTTTTCTCTCTGATCATTCTACCAGAAGTTTGTCTATTTAGTCACTTTCTGAGAATCACATTTGGCTTTGTTGATCTTTTCTCAGATGCATGCACTGGAAGTTTAGTGAATATTTGTTGGTGATTCATTTCATTTATCTAAAATATCTCTTACTCCTGTCACTGAAATATAATTTTATTCAGTACAGTTTGGAAAATATCCACTGCCTCTGGCCATGTTGTTGTTGATGAGAAATTTTTCTTTATCACCTTTCTTACAAGTCATTCGTCTTTTCCAGTTCCTATGAACATTTTCTCTTGTCTCTGGTATTCTGCCATCAGCTGCTGTGTATGCAGATGCTGTCTTCACATTCATCCTGGCTGGATCCAATGAATTTTCTCAGTCTATTCATTCATACTTTGACCAGTCCTGGAAATATCTTCTGTTACAATTCTGACTACTGTCTAATCTCTTTATTCTTTCTTCTAGAAGTCTAAGAGTTAAACATTTTAACTTCTTACTCAATGTTCCTCTTTCTTTTATATTTAATCTTTCCTTACACAAATGTGCTACTTCTGTGTGATTTCTATTGTCATTTTTAAACCAAATTGCTGAATTCTATTTTAAAATAATTTCTCATTTTTATAAATGCCTGGCCTTTTTCAGACTCAGCTGTTCATTGCTGACAGAGTTTGCTCATTTTTTCCCCAGCATTATTTTTTACTTCAACATCTTTCAACCTCTGCTATTTTTTGCTCTTCTGCTGAATTTTAGGCATTACAGTGAGTTTAGTGACTGCTTTATTATCAATACACATTTGACTGAACATAATCTGCTGGACTCCCAAGGAAACTAGAACAAAAGCACTTTTTACCAGGTAAGATTTGGGTTCACTTATACCAGATCTGTGAAGAACTAAATATAACCATTTCCAATTTGTGTCTTAGAAATTCCTAATCACAGGCTATAGTATAAAACTGAAGCATAAGCTTTGTGAGAACTGGCCTATGTTTACAAATTTTCAGAGAATCTTCTTTCTCTCTCTCTTATTGCCATTCATTCATTTATTTTTTTGCCTTACTCTGAATCTCAGCAAAGATTGACAGGTATTCTCATGGCTTGCAGGTTGCAGGGATTTCCCAGTCCCTCCTTTCACTGAGAGTATTCCCTCTTAAGAACATCACCTATCCTTCCTTTAAAGGGTTAGTCACAAAGTTCTAGGTCTGTGGTACTTTGCTTTGCTCCAGCAGAATCACAGGCTTCTGCATTTGCCTCTACTTTCATCCTGGCTTCAGCTACTCGAGTTCTTTTCCCCCTGTTCTTTACAGACTTCTCTTGATTTCTGGCAATTTCAGCAATAGATTTTAAACTGTACATGTATGATTGTATGAATATATTTCAGCATGTTTTACAAAAGGACTGTCTGATTTGCTACACCCTCCAAGCCAAAAGCCCTTTAATTTTAATCATTTCTCCTATTACTTGTATAATTCATTATTCCTTGAAACATACACCCAGTAAGGTTGGTTCATCTATTTACTGAATGTTTGGAAATGAAAAAACAGTAGCATATAACTTTAGCAGTAAAAAGGAGAGATTCACTACAGTACTGCCCTTGTTCCTGGGGAGTCCATGGTTTCTGTTCTGAGGGAGAGAGATCTTGAGCACCATGGCCTACCATACCAGCCCAGAACAAATAAGCACGTGGTGCCTTGGTTGACTCAAACATTAGATATGTATGCTGAACAAACACACAGGAAAAGAACCTCAAGATAAAAATCAACCCAGTCTTACTATATTTAAAATACGTCTCAACACATTCTGTAGGAACAAGAGTAACTGCCTTTGGACTATATAACGATATGCTGTTACAGTACAGTGTGCAAATGGTGGGAGCCAGGACATGGTAACTGTAGTAAATGTTTACACAGAGAACCTTGGTTAGTCAAGTGAAAAACATCTCCCTATCCAATCTGTTCAGAACACCTGCAATTTAGATACTATCTTTTAGAAACACAACTTATATATATATATTAGCATATTCTAGCCCACTCCCTTTCAATGAATATATTAACCACTTTTCTTCAGCCAAGGAAAAGAGAAGACCTTATGCTACACGATGATGCTTCCTGAGTGGATTTACAGCAATTAAATTTAAATTTAACCCCAAACTTGGAAAGTGAGATAGAAGCTGTGGGAGTCCAAGCTCTGCACCAGTCTAAAGAGGGAAGGCTATCTTCAATATAAAGTAACATCAGGAGGGCAGCCGAGAGGAAGAACACAAAGATTCCCAATTCTTAAATCTAACCTTCACAAAGTCATTCTCTCTTGGCTGCTAGGATAAAAATCCCTAGATTAACAAAAATATGTTTCCAATAAAATTTCAAAACTTTACTGTTAAGCGTCATATGAATTATTCACCATTTTGGATTATCTGCCTATTATATTTATATTTGTAGTTAAGTAAAATAGTTCACAATAAAAGGCAATTAAATGACTGAGTAATATTTGTATATAAAGTTAAAAATAGTTAAAAATATGAGCAACTGATCACTTGGTTAAGTCCATAATGGCTAAAATTCCTTAATTAAAAATATGTTGACAGCTAGAATTTTAGTACTAGTTTTCTCACTGTGTAATATTCAACAAATAAATTATACATGGTTTGTCTTTTTAAAAAAAGGAAAACAGAAGCCACACCATAGGGATATTGTAACTGAAAGGCATATTGTAAGGTGGTACACAATTGTATACCTATATCTGCATAAAAACACACAAAGTGCTTCAAAATAGTTGTCATTTTCATGAGTAAGATTACTTTGATGAAGGCAGTGTTTTTGTAAAGACATGATTTAAAACACAATTTACTTAGTAAAACTTGTTTGCAATTGGGTTTCATATACTTAATTCTCACTTCTAATTGCAAATGAAGAGATAGCAGTATCTCAGTATCTAAAATTATTTCCTGAAATAATTATTTTTACACATACAAGGTAACTGAGACCAGTATTACCTTATCAAGCATTCTGTATGGGTTTGTTGCATAAAAATTGAGAGGAGCATTGAGTCTGAATTTCTCTCTGAACTCAGTCTGCTTTCCCTGATTAGGACAGAAAAGAGAAAACTAAATGAATTACAAATAAATAGCTCAATTATCCCTGTAAAATCTTTCTTACAAAAAAACTTAGGGAAAGAAGACTTGGTAGCTAGCTTACATCAAACAAAATGCATTTTTTTCTTATAAGAGTGACTTCTGCATTTTGGAGAGGAGAAACTTCATGTCTGACAGTCGCTGCAATCTTTTTGGTAGTTTCCCATCTTTCAGGTAATTCCTACAAAAACAAAGATACAAATGGGGGGATTATTTCAATGACTAAAATCCCCTCCATAGAATAAAAGTTTTAATTTCTTTATAGTAAACCATGATGACTCTCATTCTGATATAAGAAATATACCCAAAAGACAAAGAAAAAAGATGCAAGTGTCCAATAGGCTTAGTCCCAGGCTGACACCCAAGCGGATGTGCAACAGACCATATTTAGGTCTTCCTGCTCTTGCCAGAGCTCCTCTGGGGCATAAGATTTACCTAAGATAAACAAAGATCTTTTCAAAAACACTAGAAAACTCCAAACTGTTTGCTATTAAGGGAATAAAAGTAAAGTGCTCTGGAAATGACTTTGCTGATCTCTAACAACTAGAAACAGAAGCAAGTCATGATCAACAATTTAAGGAGTGAAAAAAAGAAACAAGCCTTGAATCTGGAAGGGGGGGAACTGAAAATGTTAATCAGTCTCATCCTCTGCATTCCTCCAGCTCCTAAAGCTGTGTGTGTATTCTGATTCAATGGAGAATTTGAGCATTGAGGTTAATTTTAAATGACTAGGATTCTGCAGTAAGAAGAGGCAAAAGGAAGGAAAGGTTAATTCCTACTTGATGTTGGACAAGAGAAGCAATAAATAGTTCAGGTAGCAACTCAACTTTGCTCTTCCACATACAATGAAAATAGGAGGACACCAAGTTATTTTCTCTGAAGAGCCGTTGTGCATAATTACTGCTGAAAGCATTCCCTGTGTCCAGACTAACAAAGCAGTGTTTCTCTGGGTCATCTCCTGGGACACTGAAATTGTTTTGTCACATAAAACTACCCATGGTGATGGGACTCCACTTGAGTGGCTGAAGTACAAAAATCAAAGGTTCTAAAGACTATGTTGTAACCCTCGATAAATATTTGATGACTGATTCAGTAACTGCCAATTATAAAGAGTGTGTTGCGCTAAGTATAACTTGTATCTGTGTGGTGGGAGAGTGCTGCAAATATAACACACACTCTTTGACATAAAATGTTTTTACATCTGGCAGATCACACATGACAGAATGTGTTAACTTCCACCAGGAAGCCCATACATATTATGGACTCAAAACACCTGTGGGTCAACACAATGTCAGGAAGACCAAAAAGATCAAGAACCAGGAGACCTAGGCTCTGAACCTACTTGTCCCATCTTGTATACTTCTATACTTCATCCCCTCAAAACTGCATCATTGCCTGCAGTCTCATTTTGCATTTCCTATTCACCCCCCAAAAATCTACCATATGAATTTCCTTCAGTGCTGATGGCTGGAAAGCCACAGAGATCACATTAATGGATCCAGACCCTTAAATCTCTTTCAGTCACAGTAGATGGGGTGAGGGAGAATTTAAACTCTTAAGGAAACTGGGCAGTATTCAGGGAGCTAGGGAGTAGTTGATGAAAGGCTTTTAGCAGGGACAGGAATTGGTAAACTCTATAGATTAGTAGGTTACTTAGCGTCAGAGCATATTGTAGATAAGACATGAGGACCATTCAAGCCTAAGGCCTTTTTAGCATAAGACTAAAAACAAGCAAGTATTTGGAGAAATACAGAGTAACTATCATGAGTTGCTTTAATTAAGTAAAATCAGGATATCCTCCATATGCAACTTATACTGCTTACAAATCTTAGTTTTACCTCTGACCAGCCTAAATTACTGACATAGCAACACAAAAGATAACTAAAAATGTCCCCCATTTGAAATGTTGATAAGTCTAGTATTTTTTCTTTTTGAAAAGTCTAGTATTTTTGATGTTGCTGTAAGATGAGGTATTGTGCCAAAGTTTCATAACACATATTCTAGAGGTTGTAACTAAAATCCTCCTTATCGATGGCTTAAGATATTGGGTTTCATATTTTAAGCTCTACAGTCTGACTCAAAGATATCCAAATCTTTCTACAAGCCAACATGTATAGCATTTCTCTATTTAATCTCAGTGTTGTTATGTATCTACATATACATATACCTTATTTAGGATTTTCAGTTCTAAGGAGAGTTTTATACTTAAACAAAATTTAACAATTTGTGTAAGTCTTTGTATTTGTACAGCCAAGATAGCACTAATAAATAGATTGTCGCACTTAATCCTCAAAAAATAAAATAGGGATATGAAATGGAGCCGTCCTTGTGAAAAGCTTGGTAGTTCCTCAAAGCATTAAGTATATATATGACCCAGTAATTCTACTCCTAAACATCATATTCCAAAAGGAATTGAAAAAAGTAAACACATTCATTTGTCAACCTTCACAGCAGTACAATCACAACTGTCAAAAGATGAAAATAACACAAATGTCCATCAGTGGATTAAATGTTAAATTGTGGTATACACACAAACACACAGGAATATTATTCAGTCATAAAAAGAAACAAAATTGTGATATTTACTACAATATGAATGAACCTCAAAAATATTGTGCCAATAAGTGAAATAAATCAGATAAAGACAAACATATGCTTTCACTCATATAAGGAAAATAAACAAATGAACAAACAAAACAGAACAAAAAGAAACCGCTAGATTCGGACAAAGAGTGGTGGTTTTTAGAGGGGAAGGGGGTGAGGGCCCGGGGGGTGGAGGGGCTTTGAGTGGATGGTAGTGGGTGGAAACCTGGTGGTAGGCATGGTGTGATCTAGACATATGTTGGGGTGATCCAGTACAGAGTTATAATCAAATTTACCTCAATAAAAAAAATACCGTGCCAAGTAAAATGAAGGACAACATACTGTGTATTCCATTTATATGATGTATTTATAACACATAAATCTACAGAGACCAAAAAAAAGAAATTGTTGATAGCTAAAAAGATCAGTGAGGGGGACAGAAATAAAGGAGAATGACAGTTAATGGGTATAGGGTGTCTTGGAGGAGTGATAAAATGTTTTGAAACTACATACAGTAGGGACCTGCACAATACTGTAAATGTACAAAATGCACATACTTTGACATGGCTACTTTTATGTTCTGGAACTGGGAATATAACCTCAAATCAAAAAGAGAAAAGTGAGAAACTAGAAACACAGACAACTTTTTCTAAAATGATGGAGCTTAAGGGATATTTTAATAGAGAGAATCATGCTCTGAGGAAAGCAGATGGATAGATGCACAGTACTTCAAAACAAATTTGAGTTGCAGTCCATGCTCTGAAGACTAAAGTAGGACACAGTAAGTTTTTAGTAAGTGTGAGCACTGATCCCATTCGCAAGGTTGTATGTCAGCCTAGTCTGGAAGCTAGTGGTTGATGGAAAGACCTAACTACCTATAGAACTTCAATACAGACAAGTGAATGGAGCCTGCACTGTGATATGTTTTTTCATGGTTTCAGTTGTAACTAAAAAGACAGATTTTGTTGTTTGATACATAGAAGCCACCAATTCTTCCAAAGCACAGGAATAGGAGGATGGCACAGAACTCCTATTTAGAAAACACAGTGATTTTCCCATTCAAATTGGGCTTTCCTTTTTTTTTTTAATGGGAATCACTGATTATTATTTTTTAAATAATTTTTAAAAACCAAGTACCATTTTCTTATGTTCTTGTTATTTTTTTTTTTTTGACAACAGAGGATTTCTTCCCTCAGCTGTGATCACTGTGTCTCTCCAAACACCAAAGCAAACATAGTCCATGTGCATCCAACCCCCATTTTCTCTGTTCCCCTTTTCACTCCACCACCCCCTTCCTTCCCTCCTCTTCTGCATGCCTCAAATCTATGGTTAGTTCTCAAGGGTTTAAAGTCTGTCTTTATCTTACCCTCTGTTTGGTTTCTCTGTAACATGTCCACAATATGTTTCTAAATAGTAAATGTGCCTCAATGGATAAGCAATTTAAATGAAACAGAGTTTGGATATATTTTATGTATGAAAGATCTTACATATAAAAGGTAAAAATGGGACTCATAAAGTCACTCACAGGCTCTCTAAGTTTCTCCTAACAAAAAGGCAGTGAAACACAGCAGTTGACTGTATTCTGGTATGAAACCAAACTAGATTTGAGTGTTGAATGATTGGGTTATACTACTTGTGTGATCTTCAGAAATTCTTCAGTGACCTTAAGCTTTAGATGCCTAACCTATAAAATGAAAACATTAATGTCTACAGTATACGTGGTTATGAGGTTGTTATACAGAATGCACATAAAGAATTTGGCTGAAAGAGATACTCATTTAGGGGGTTATGACTATTTTACCACTACACTTACCTCTAGTTGAATGTAGACTTGCTCAGGCATCTTCTGGCCATAGGTTTCTAAGAGTGTGATGGTTTCTTTTAGTGGTTCAAAGAGCTCATCAGTAGCATGTTGTCGGCTTCTCACAGCCAGGAGATGCCCCATAATGTCCACTAACCCATCATGATCACCTTCACTCAATTCTCTCTGAAGACCAGCATTTGTTTCCTTTATAAATTCTTGTAGCTCATTCAGACTATTAAATATATACACACACCATACAATGACACAAATTAAGCACATTATTTAGAAGTACAAGATTTCTGAAAATCTTATTTTCATTATTTCATAATAACAAGTAAATTAACATTACTTGTTATCTCCACTTATAAAACTGGCAATTAGAAGGCAATCAGGGGTTAAAAATTATAATATAAATACCAATGCACAAAGGACTACCTGTCAATGACAAATCTCAAAAGATGCTCCTGAAACATCCAGCTCCATTTCTTAATAATGTTCAGCAAGGTCACTTTGAAAGGCTTCATGTCCACTTTGAACCAACTGTCAAACACTCTAAAGTCATCGAACTTGCTCATCTGAACGTACAGAGCTTCATAAATGTCAATCTGAAATTAGAAAATAATAAGAATTTAATTAATTTAATTTCAAGCCAATAACTACATTAAATGCTAAGGGGTTATCTTGCCTGTTCTTTGAATTGTTCGAGGGTCGGTGGCTGTTCAGCTATTTCTTCACTGGTGTGAGCATCCAAATCATCAGATGATAAAGTTTGGCCATACAAAAGGAAATGCTTCATAAACTCAGTCCGGTCATCCACCCAGAGGTAAGCATAGGCATCCAGGGTATTTCTAAAGTCCAAGACTTTGTTAACAACATCCACAACTCTCTTCATTATTTCCTGCCTGGCCTCTGCCAGACCTAACATGTTATCCATGTCATTCTAAAAGAGAGGAAAACCAAGCACTTATTAAAATCAGTTTACTTTATCAATTATTTGCAGCATAACATTATTCAAAGTAATCCTTCAAAGGGAGTGTGGCTGTTATTATCAAAAACTGTTTTTTTCTAACTTCTCTTTCTTTTGCTCCTCAGCATCCCAATTTATTTTAGAACTACCAATATAAAGCTGATGGCCATTTATAGTGCAAATACCTGGTAATTTTCTATTTCCAGATGTCCTGCTACTCGCTTCATTTGGGCAGACATTCTGAAACTACTGCATAGCATTTCTTCTACTAGATCATAGAAGCCATCCCCAGCATCTCTTTCTAAGGAAGGTTTAAACAGAATTTCTGGGGGCATTAAGATCATTTGTGCTTGAAAAAATGGTGCAGGTTTCAACTGTGTTTCTGTGTTCATTAGAAAGAAGTCTAAGTCATGCATTATAGCTTGAAAAAAGCCTTCTACTACGATGTCATCAATAAATTCTACATAAATCTTCCAGGTATCCAGAGATGGATTGGCATTGAAGAGCTTCCTATTTTCCTGCAAATATATAAATATAAATTAATATAAATAATGAATATAAAAATGCTTTCCATTTAAAGACATGGAAACAACCCAAATGCCCAAAAGTAGATGACTGGATTAAAAAGATGTGGTGCATATACACAATGGAATATTACTCAGCAACCAAAAAAAGAAACACATGCCTTTTGCAGCACCATGGATGGAGCTGGAAAAGATCATGCTTAGTGAAATCAGCCAGAAAGAAAAGGAAAAATACCAGATGGTTTCACTCATAGCAGGAGTATAAAGGACCAGGGGAGAAAATACTAATAACAATGAACAACTATATACCAAAGACAGTTACAGGGGTGGAGTGGGGAATAGGATCAAAAACTGTGGGGGGAGGAAGTGCACTGGACTATGGTGATGGCACATGGGTGATTTGGTGATGGGAAGCCCAGAGGGAGTACAACTGGGATGAAAAAATACACAAAATGATGTAAAAATAAACTATTATTTTAAAAATGCTTTCCATTTAAATTATTTTTAAAGGGATAATTCAAATGCCAAGTTACAGAAGCTTAAGCTAGATAGTTAAGATCAAAGCAGGATATAGTAACATTTAGTTTAACTACAAAATATATTCAAAAGTCATTCTTAAAGGAAAAAAATCAAGAGAAGGAATGCTATCTTCAAATGCTGATCAGTAATACACTAGATCCTAAAGCATTCTAGATGTATTCTAACTGGGCTCTAGTCCTTACTGTCACTAACTCCAAATGCCTTGGGACTCTGTCTTCTGAGACACTGCCTTTAAATGAAGAAATTTCCAAAACTGTTCTAGGACAGCTAAAGATCACAGGAGCAATCAAGTGCTATGTTTCCTAGGCCCTTCCTGTAAACTCATGGTGCACACATCACATTAGAGCCCTTTTATTCTGGTATAGTCCAGTTGCAAAAAAGCAAAAATGCATGAACAGCTGGAAAGGTGTCCTAAATGTTACAGGATAATCCACAGCAATCCAGAGAACAACTGAGAATGGTTAGTGGCTTGACAAAGATTACTACTAAAAAACAAATTATTACTACTGAAAAAACAAATTTCCAGACACATATCAGAATACCTCTTCTCAGAGGTATTCTCAAAGCTATTCAGGCCTTAGGCAAGGCCTTGTGGGAATCCAGCCCACCCCTTGATTTTAGACTTCTAGCCTCCAGACTCTGAGAATAGACTGCTGCTATTTTAAAACACCCCATTTGTAGCGCTTTGTAGCAGTAGTCCTACCCTGCTAATATGGCAATAATCCAAGGAGGCAGGGAAAAACTCTTTGCCCTAACAAGTGGTGTTAAGTAGAGAAAATGAAAACTTTCTTTCAAATTTCAGATAACCTTAGAAGCTTTGAAACTGAAACTTCGAAATTCATATTCATTTTTTTTTTCTTTTTGCTATGCATCTCAATACACGTTAACCATATGCAACTTTAAAAACTTGTGTTTTTCTCTCAGGCTCCAGAACACTGCCCCTCCTGACTTCCTCACACCATGGCAGTCATTCTTCTGCTGCACCGGTAGCCGATTCTTCTTCCCCTTGGTTTCCATAGGGTGGTAGTCCTACTTTCCTGGCATCGCTTTCAGCATCCTGTGCATGATCTTCCACTTCTCCCTGGCCTCAGGGATGACTGTAAGGCCAATTCTTGGACCTCATCTCTATCAACAATTTAACCCCACAAGGTCTCCCTCTGAGCATGTCTTTTCACATCATGTACATGCTCCTCACGCTGAACTGTAGGTCACGCAGATGGCCCTCACTCGAGAACTCCAAACTCACATTTGCAATCCTAGCCTGCCCAAAATTTAATGTTGGGCTGGCATCTATAACACGTCTAAAACAAAATCCTGTTTTCCCCTAAAAAATATGCTCCAGCACAATCTTCCCCATTATCAGTCAAGGGAAATTTCATTTTTCCAGTTGCTCAGACAGAAAATGTCAAAGTCACCCTTGACTCTTTCTTTCAACTCATCACAGCAAATCCTGCTGGCTTGCTCTTCAAAATACGTCCAGCATATGGTGGCTTTTACCACCACGACCCTGACCTAAGCCATCACCATTTCTCACCTGGTTTATTTAATAATCTCCTAATGATCTACCTGTCTACCACTTTCTAGCTCCCCTGTCATTTATGTGCCACAGGGAAAACTCTGAGCAGAGTCTCTGGCTGCTATTTTCCCTCAGAGTAAAAGCCACAGTTCTTGGCAGCTGTGATGTACCCTTAATTGCTTCTCAACATCATCACCTAAAATTCCTTTCAGGCCTGCTGGCTCTCTAACAGGTGCTCAGGCCAACCATGCACCTGCCTCAGTGCATGAGATACTGTACTTTCACCATCTGGAACACCTGTCTCTGGATAGCTACACACCACATTCCCTTTTCCTTTCAATTCTCTGTAGAAGTGTTACCTTAGTAAAGTGGTCTTTCCAAATACCTCATGTAAAACACTCTCCTTAATTCCCTATCTCTGCTTTATTTTCCACTATTGCTCATATTATTGACATTAAGTATTTGTTATTTTCTATCTTCTCTGACTAGAATGTAAGTTCCATGATACAAGGGAAACTTGTAGGTGAGGGTTTTATTTTTCTGCCTTCACGTGTTTTTTTATTTAGTCTCCTCTTAAATTAATAAACCTCTTAAATTAATAAACAGTGGCTGTTAGTGTTTTAATAATGTAAGTATTTATTTAGAGTGTTATTATTACCACCCTTAGGAGATGGTTGAGTTTCACATGAAATGAGGTTAGAAAGATGACTGATAGCAGCAGGCATCCAAAGGTGTAATCCTGACAAAGATTCTTTAAAATATCTCATATTCTAAATTCTTTCCTCAGAATGAGTAGTGAGTGTTACAGAAATTACAGGCAAATTACATAAATTCCTCCATTTTAAGGGCTTAACAAAACCATACAAGAAAATTCAGTCTACTGAAAGAGTCCTGCTTTATCGGCTTAAATATTTTGCTCTTTTCTAAACTACATGAGAAGTTTTGAAAACAAAAGCAGTTACCTCTACCAAGCTGTGTATCTTGCAGCCATCTTCGTGGATGAGCTTGTATTTTTTAGTGAACAAATCACCTCTGTCCTCCAAAGTGAAGGTGGCCTCCCTTCTGTGCTCCCTCCTGGGAAGCAGCGGGCTCTGCGCCCAGGCCCTCACCATCTGCTGGATGGCCTTCACGTTGCTCTGTGTGTGCTCCACCCGGCGCTGCAACCCTGTGGTGGTCACCTTCACCTGCTCCACGTACCCCCAGCAGTCATGCTGCCACGTCAGCCCTGTCGCCACTGCTTGGAGCTGCTTCTCAACAGCCCTGAGCTCATCTTCAATCAGGGGGTATTCAACTTCCAGAAGAATCTGTTTCAATGTATTATATCCTTGCACGAGAAGTTCAAGAATTCCAATGTACTGAGCAAAGAAAACCCCAAAACAAAGCACCAAATACGTTAAAGTTACTTTACCATAGCACCAAAGTAGTATTATTGGGCTATATGTCAGCAATTAAAACTCAAAATACATCCACTAAAAATATGCAACTAATTTCTAAAATTACAAACCTTTAAGATAGTGTTTCTTTTTTCAAAGATGGCTAATGCAGAATTCGGTATGTCTGACTTCTTCAACATTAAGAGATATTTTACTTCTCTCAAAACAGTCACTAGCTTTTAAAAGAAAACAAGGATTACTACATACTGTAAGAATCTCATTCTAACACAGAATCAAAACATTTAAAATTCCTCCAATGATGACTGCATTTCCAAATTGTCAAAGTAAAGAGGCATTTGTCTTATCTGCATTTAAAAAGCAAAGCTTACACATTCCCTATGCTGTGTAATTAAAAATAATAAAGGTATAATAAAGATAGAATTTGAACAAAAGATGGTAACAGATGCACATCAAAATGTGGACTGGAAGGCCACATGTGGTCGTCAGTCTTCTTCTAGAAACGTTAGTTCTGTCACAATACTAAGAAAACACAAGCGTGTTCCAACGTGTTTGGATGCAACATGAGCACATCAAAGATTTTATCTTTGCTTATGCACAATTCATCAGCGAGAATACTAGGTAAGTGCTGAAAACTGTACCCAACTGAACCCAAAGGTTTAGAAATATGCAACCACCCCCCCTCCCCCAGCTATGACACTCCTCAAAAGACCATCAGGAAGCTCAGCTCACTGGAATGTGATAAGCCCCAGCCATCCAATTTACTGTAAGATCCTGTCTAGTTTCAGACACGCCTCCTTTTACTTCACAATAATGCACAAGTTGCAGCCCAAATTTCAGGTTTTTTTTCAAGAGGAAATGTCATTTACTACAATATTTTTGCATTCCTAACCTTTTAAAATATTAAGCTATGCAACTGTTATTTCTTAAATTCCTGTTATTTAATGTGTCTCTGACACAGGTTTTTGAGTACTACACCTCTTGCCCCCAGTTTCCCTACCAGCCCTGTGCTTTTAATGTTCAATTTTCACAGTATTGATTTATGAGAATGCATATAGCATGCTGTGGCACACTGACTGCATTCCTAAATCACAGATCCTGTGATTGCACAGATGCCTAACAAGGTAGCCCAGCTGCTCTCAAGTTATCATTCCATAGGTTAAGTAACGATATTATTGTGTATCTTTACAATACCCTCAGGTGGAATCATTGAAATTATTCTAAAAACATCTGAGGAATTTAGTTTCTATAAATTGTTTTTATAAAATCAGAAGGAGAAGGACTCCTTAGTTCTCTTGGTCAAATAAGGTGCTATTTAGAAATAAAATTAAGTGATAATATTTCAAAATTTTTGGGAAACATCAGAATTTGAGGGCAAATTATGATTATCAAACTTAATGAGGAAAACTTCCCTACTTCCTAAATATATAAATCTGGACCTCTGGGAAAGAAAGCAACCACTAAACAGGAATATCTAATTTTTACTGTCCAAAAGTTCAACCAGAGATTTTACTATTTTTTTTGTCATAGAAACTGACAAGTAGATATTCTTTAAAGCATATTCATGTAGGTAAACAGAAAAGAGAAGCTTATTTTGCACCTCATACTTAGCAAGTTTTCAGACTTGGAGATAGGTCATTTAAAATATACACTTCTACATATGTTTATAAATACATATGTGCATGTATTACATCATATGTAAACATACACACACTTACCATAAAATCCCTGTACTTTATTATATAGCATATAATGAAATTTTGAGAAAATGAACTTTTTCAGGAAACAGAATTTCTGTTGAACAAAAAAATTTGTTCAATAAGGTAATTTTCACCTGAATTATGTAGCTATTAATGTTTGACATTTATATGCTGTTTGCTTTTCTAAAAACTGTTTTATAAGAATTACCATCAATATAGCTGATGATTTCAAACTTATTGTCCCTCTGAAAAAAATTATGATAAAGTACCCTTATTTTGCCAGAGAACAGTAGAAAGTCATTCATTCCTTACATTCTGTGGATTCTCCAATATGTAACTTATATGATGAATTTAACTAGAAATACTGGTGTGTATGCTACAAATATAATTGAAGTCAAAAAACATATGATAAAAGTCTAAAGATTAAATGCAGCTGAACTATCAACATTGTTAGCTGAATACTTCAATTTAGTAAGGATTCCCAAGTGCCAGAAACTATGATAGCCACGCAGAAACAAAAAGGAAATGAAATGGACCTGGCTTTCAAGTAACTTATTATTCACTGAAGCTGGGAGTGGTAAATAAATATAAGGCAAAATAGGGGTTAATATAGACTTCGGAAAACAAATAGCTAAAACAAAGATCTATTAGAAGTCATTTATGGTTATATTCCTATATCATAGACATTTTCCAAAATAAAAGCAATGAATTATCAGAAACATACACAATAATAAGTGGCACCTATAAAATATCTTAAAAACAGCAAATCCCTACCTTTGGATCAAAGTTCACACTGAGAAGACCATTTATGGCACTGAACTTAACCAAGGGTTGATTCAAATTGAATTCACAGATTTCATCCACATTACTTTTCCATTCATTATAGATATGACTTTCAAATTGATCTAGCAAAGTTGTCATTTCAACATACTGCTGATAAACTAAGGCCTCTTCAGGACTTTCCAGGAATCTGTAGGAATATAGATTTTCTACTTGCCTACATATTTGATAGATTTCAGCTAACAACTTTACAATAACAAAATACATAATGAAAAACATAATATACAAGAAACATCAGGAAGAGAAATAACGACTAAGTGATGCTTTGAATGGGCTTTGCTTTAAACAATCAAGCTAGGAAATGAATGAAATTCTAGTGATTTACTAAATGCCAGTAACAAGACAGTAACTCCTACAGAGAAAAGGGTACAAAGTCTGTTTAAAAAAAAAAAGTGTGTTAATTACTGAAGAAAAAATTAACAAAAAGAGACATATATTGTGGGTGAAAAGTAAAAGTACCTAAAACATGGAAATAGAGGAAATTTAAGAATCCCATTAAAAATATTTTAAAGGTATAGCAATACCACCTCTCAATGAGCCCAGCCAATGAAAAGAATTTAATTAGGCAATGGTTTTTTGCATGCTAAAATGAACAACTCACTAACCTCTAAAAATTGTATCATTAGGATAATTTTACTACTTACAGGTAATGCAGAGATGCAAAACTTGACCAAAACATTTGAAGTCGTTCAAGGACCTCTTTGGCCCATTTGATATTTCCTGATGTAAATGGCATATTTTTATTAAGAACCACATTTCCATGTTCAATCTGCAAATTGATATTTTGGTGAAAAGGAAGACAGAACTCTAATCAGAGTACATTCCAACATTATAAGCAATTGTTCATTTTGGTACATTCTTTTTTAAAAAGATTGATTTATTTATGCATACAAGAACCAGAGTATAGATCAGAGATGAAGGGGGTGAGAGGATTCACCAAAGACAGAGTGGGAAACAGAACAAGCAGATTGACTGAAATACACCGCTGAGGGGAGCAGTAGGCAAGAGAAGAGAGGTCTGCTGCACCAGTGGGTCACCTTGCTGGCCAGGCATCCAATATGCTGCAGTGGCTGCAGATAGCTTCATCATGCTGCACTTTAACTCCTTTACCACCAGGGAAGCCCCACTTTGGTACTTTTATGCAAATATATGAAACACACCTGATAAGTAATTCAATTAGTAGGAAAGTTATGTGTCTAAAGCAGGTTCTTCGTCTCTATAAGAAAACTAATGTGTAAAAAGTTTTACCATGTTACACCTGTGAGAATGGCTTACATAAAAAGACTAGGAACAGGTGTTGGCAAGGATGTGGCTAAAAGGAACTCTTGTACATTGTTGGCACATTGCTGGAGAGTAAATTGATGTAACCATTGTGAGTACAGTATAGAGGTACCCCAAACAACAAAAAAACAGAACTGCCACAGGATCCAGCAGTCCCACTTCCTGATATCTAGCTGAAGAATATACAATCACTAATTCAAAGATATATACATATATATTATATAGGTATAGGTATAGATACACACACACACACATATGTATATATAATTGCAGAGAGTGGCTAACCTAAGTGTTCATTGATAGATGAGTAAAGATATGACACACACACACACTCTCACACACGGTGGAATACTAGTCAGCTATTAAAAAGATGAAATACAGTCATTTATAGAAAAATGGAAAGAATGAGGGTATTAATACTAAGTGAAGTCAGAAGGGGAAAGATATATATTGGATGATACCACCAACACATGGAGTATAAAGAAACAAAGCAAATGAATACAGCAAAATAACAGACCAATGGATTTTGATGATAGAACTAGGGTTTCCAGGGAGGTGGGGTGATAGGAGGAGGAGGTTGGAGAATTTTAATAGAGGGCAGCTGTGGTTATTTTTAATAAATAAAATATTAAAGAAAAAATGTAAAGGAATGGTGTTTAAAACTTTAAGATTATAAAAGACAAGAAAAACTGAGGGATCAGTCTACGCTGCAGATGAAAAGACGTGACAGATGGTTCAGACTTGGATCCTTTCTCTAGACGACGTACAGGGACATGGGCAAAGCAGTGGGACTTGAAGATTTTATGGTGGCAATGTATCAGTACTAAAAATTTGCTGATTTTGGATACTGTTATCTATGAAATTTTTGTTTGCAGAAAACATCACTAAAGTGAAAAGAATCACGCCAGCAACCTACTTTCTAAGAGCTCATGAGAAAAGATTCTTGGGTCTTATCAAAAATATAAAAATACTGTCTAAATATGCTTCCTGCTGGTCAAATTTAGACAAAATAAGTCTTTCTAGATATCTCCAAGAGTTAAAAAAAATGTAAATGTTTCAATGTATCTGTTATTTGGATATTATTTCATACAGTTTCAGCTGATGGCCATTACTCATAAAAGAAATACTGTGGATGTTCTCTACTTAGCCCCCACTTACCTGTTTCATGTGCTCATTATACAATTGCTGACACATCTCCAATTCTGCATTAAACATGTACACCAGTGTGCTATAATGTGGGCTGAAAATTTCCATGACAACTGGTTTCTCTAGAAAATTTCCAAATAGGGTCAAAAGCTATAAAAAAAAAATCAAAGTTAAAGGTTTGGAACTATGGGTTTTAAATACAAATACACAGCTCACTAATTGCCCCCATTAAACTGTTTACTGACTAGAGAGTACACAAAAATCTAGAACCCTAGATACATCCTACAGTGTTTTCAAGTCTAAAACCTATTTCTGTACCCATTCATGCCATAAAGCAAATTCACTAAAGGTCAGTTCCCTTCTTCAGTGGGAAATGAAAGGAATGAGAAATGAACCCTTCTGCAAACAATCCATGTGCAATTTTATACTTTCTCCTGATGGGCACCAAAAAACATTTTAGAAAATTCTTTGTGGACCTCAGTACCTAGCATGTCCAAAAGCCACACCATTAATAATAAGACAAGATATCTCAATTACAGGACTGTCCTTCCCATGGCCATGCCATTCCACATTTCCCAGTCGCCCCTGGCACAGTGGCCTGGGTCACTGAGGGGACCTCTTCCAGAGCAACCATTCTACACGTGGACAGTTCCTTGGATGTGCATGTCCTGGCTCCAAACTATCACTTCAGTACTTAGTTTCTCTTTCTCAGGAGGACAATCAGCGCATGGCAGGCTGAAGCTAAGCCAGCAAAGCTTTGTGAAAGCAAACCACTAGTGAACAGAGGAAGCTACTGAGGGAGAGAAGAGAGCAGACATGTGACAGAACCACATCATCAGCAAGCAGAAGAGTGAAGGTCCACAAACTCCTAAATTTACTCTATGAACCCCCGGAGTTCAAATTTATCTTCACCCTCAGTTTCTACAACATGAAGCTACCTGGTGAGCCTAACCTTGGATTCCTGTTAGCCTCCTGGATTGGTTTCTGTGTGGATTCTTCTGTATGCTAGCATGAAGCAGCTTTCTTTGCAAAGACAATACTGTGATTAATCAACTATTCTTGCATAACCAGTGTTTTTACGGTGCTGAATACGTACCCGGCACTATATTCTTAAGCCTTAAAAATGTCGTTACTATCACGTTTCACATAAAAGAAACAGTGAGGGGAGGGAGTAACATGTTCCCCAACCTAAGGCTGGAGGCAGAGCTGCCACCTGACAAGGGCAGTCTGGCACCAGGTCTGCTGTGCTTCCTGTGAGGCCTCTTAAACACTATAAGGTAGTGTTTAAAATTATTGTTTTGTTATTCACTCACCCTGTGTGGCTTTCATAAAATGTTAGCAGACATGTTTTATACAACAGAAAACTGGTAGTCCAAGTTTGTGCCTTGTAAGCAAAGGAGAGGGCTTTGTTCTTCCACTTAGGGAAAGAGGTTCTATTCTCCAAATTTTATTACAAAACAACTTCACTCAAACGTTTTATAAACATTTCCAAAACTATATTATTCACTGGGGGGAAAATTAACACAATGAAAATATAAACTGAAATGAACATCTAACCAGATCTGAGGGATCATTTTAGACATCCACTGCTTGGTGTTTTTTTTGTTTTTGTTTTTGTTTTTTATCTTGGTAATATCATTTGTAACTCCCACAGAAACTGCTAAGAATTTCAAGTCTGCTGGTTAGCTGTTACCTAGGAAAATGCAAATTAATAACTTTCCATTCATCACCACAGTTCTGAGTTTGGACTTGACATTAAAATTCAGAAGTAAACAACCACCACATAGATTTAACGAAAAATGCATACTCTAACAGCAGCACGCAGAAAACATTAGTTTCACAACTGCTTTCAATCACTTATCACATCAAACACAATTGGAATGATGCCAGAAGCTTCCTAACTACATCTCCTTCTGCCTACCTGATAAGTCCTTAGTGGACTTATCTCCAAGCATAAAACAGGAACAAGAAAATGTCACTCAAAGAGGATGTAAACCACAATGTAGTAATAAGGAAAGCCTTAACTCTTTAGGCAATATAGATTATCTTAATTTTTCAATATCAGAAATATAAAAACTATCATTTAAGATGAGAATAAAGGGCATTTGAACCTCTTGCTTCCCTTAATAGTACCTTCATAGAGGTACTAAGAGCTACTTTAAGGAGTATAGACTTTATCCTTTGCATCAACCTCAAAAGGTTCAACATTCACTCTGACTACGTGCATCATTCCTATATTTCCCACTTGAGATCTATAAGGTTCACCTTCATTTCCTTCTACTTCTCAGTTTCACTGTGTAATATCCCTTTTCATAACACTGTTCCAAAATACCTATTTATAATTTTCCTAGGTTGGCCACTTTCAAAGATATTTTTAATATTTCCATCTGAACCATACACAGTGCACAATTTTATAGTTTCAATTATATTGTCTAAAGACCTTTCTGATAACTTTTTGTCTTACACAGTTAAGTCTACCCCCATATAAACAAAATGTAAATATTAGGGAACATGCTGTGTGTGTGTGTGTGCACACAAGTGCACCAACACCATAGGCTTTAAAATACATCTTTATACTACAGTAAAATAGTATTTGGTTCCAATGACTCTGCTGAACACATCTTTCCTAAGAGCAGGCACTGAATCATCATCTTCAGAGAACAGAGAAATATTGATTCCCTGGGACACAACAATAAAGGCCAAAGTTCATCATCCTATACTTATGATAGAAATCATTTTCTACCTAAATACACAACCTGTAATTTTTTCCTTTGCCATTACTCTTTCTGCAGTTTACCTCTCTTAGTGTGTCATTTCAGTGTGATCAGTTCTAATCTGAATCACTCAAGTGCCTGCTTTCTATACAGCACTGCAAAAGGCAATCTACATATAATGAAAACTGTAAGATGATGTCCCATCCCTGCAGAACTTATGAGGCAGGATCTCATATTTCCCAGTAGTCACAATACAAATATGTTGAAAGTTAAAGAACAACATTTCAATAAGGTAAGATAAAGTTGTTAAAAAGAAATAATTGGCATAGACTGAAATAGAAACCAAATTAATGGTTGTAAGTGGAGACTCTCGAGTTACAAAAAAATGTAGGTACTTCTGTAAAAGTGATTTCTTTCTTCCAATTATTTCTGAGGCAGAAAAGTAGTTACAATAACAGAATATGACCACTACAAAGCCATTAAAAATAATTTGTTGAACTCTGTTATAAAAGCAAGGAAAATATTTATGATTTGCTGCTAAATAAGAAAGGTTCCCAGGATCAGACTACATTACTTCTGTTAAAGATAAATATGTAAGCATAGTTAGCCCAAAAAAAGTAGTAGCAGTATTAAATACAATAGTAACTTCTAAGAGGTAGAGTTACAAGCTGTTCTATTTTATAACAGGATATATATATATATATATATACACACACACACACACACACACACACACACACACACACACATATATATATCAAAATTTCATTGAAGAGCTCTTAAAATGAAAAGAATATCTGCTCCTTGAGAATTCTCCAAGTTTAAATGCCTGACACGAGCAGCTTTATCACATCTGACCAATTAATTTAAATGTCAAGGGCAAAATAAACAAAAAAAATGTCATATAAAATGTGTGTGTTATACCACTTTGCAATTCCATTTTCAATGAACTGAGCTCATCATTCTTTAGTTGTGTTTCTTCTGCTAACTGAAGTTGTAATTCCCCTTGTGGGATGTCACCTAAGTTTCACATTCACTTGCCTTTGACAAGCCAGTTTTACATGGTGTCCCTGCAGTCCATGCATAAGCTTTCCATCGGGAGGACTAAGATACTTTTCTTATATACAACTCTAAAAACACTCATACCCTAGTTTACCAGTTCTACAGCATACATTCTGTCGTGTTTCAACAACTCTGGAATTGGACATTATATAATCTATGGCATCACAATTCCTAACAGCATTTTTTTTTAATACACAAAATAAAGGTGTGTCCCACAATGAGTGGTGTCTTATGCCTGAGAAATCAAGTATATAAATTGCTACTTGCTTCATTCAAAGTAATAAAGTGGGCAGGTAAATCCAATGTGGAAACAATGTTGTAATAGAAATTCTTGAATTAACAAGCATTTTTTTTACTATTCACTGTGGTTTCATTTTAATTCAGTGTTTTATTGGCCATGCAAAACTTGCTGTAAAGGTAATGTAAACTAAAAGACTATGAATACAAGAAAAGCTCAATAAACACCCTAAAACTGACCTTGTCCAAAGTATACTTCATTATTCATTAGTGTTTTATTCAGTTTAAAAGTTAGTGAGCTGACTATGAAGAGAATGTGACCAGTTAATAGTTTACCTGAATCAGAAGGAACATATTCACTCCATTCACCTAACAGTTTGATTTATTCATTAGTGGAACATTTTTATGATTGTTTCTTCAGAACTAACCTTAAGTGCAGCTTCTAAACCATTACAATTAAAGAAACCTTCACAAAGAATTGTCCCAAGCCTTCTGTCAAAATCCAATATTTTTGACTTAAACATGCCATAGTCACTTTCAAATTCCTGTAAAATTCAAAATAAAATATTAATAGGAAAGATCCAGTAGTGAACATAGTAATCAGAGGAGCTTGATGACTCCCGCCTGGCCCCCACTCCACCCTTGAATTAATCTATTTTTTAATAAGAGTCCAGGGAAGCTCAAGAGCAAGCTATTTCTGACTAACAGTTCATGTGGGGGCCTACTGGGAACACTGTACGTTTAGGTTTATCTGCTGCTGTTTTCACCGTCTTTCCACCAGCTCAGGCCCTGTATCAGTATTTTCACCCTCAGTCCTTCCTCCTCCGAAACCACTTTACCAATAAAATAGCAGAGCTTTTATAACAATTTTTAAAAAAATTTATTTATTTATTTGTACAGAACTGTGGTACAGGCCAGAGATGCGGAGGGTGAGAGGATTCACCAGAGACAGAGCGGGGAGCAGAACAGGCAGATAGACGAAGTACACTGCTGAGGGGAGCAGCGGGCGGGTCAGGAGAGGTCTGCCACGCCATGTGGACACCTCCAGGGCAGGCGGGAATCGAACTCATGCGGAAGTGGCTTAAGCTTCTTTGTGCTGTGCTTTAACCCGCTGCGCCACCAGGGAGGGGCCTTATAACAATTTTTAAAAGCACCTATTCCCCTATAACCTTGATAAGCTTTGAATTTAAATAGAAGTTTTTAAATTTTGTTTTCATGCAAAAAATAAATAATGACCAGGAAATACTCTTCCTTTAAGTGAAAAGTGAAAACTAAAATCCACAGATCTGTAAGAAAGCTTCATCAGAGCTACAGATGAAATAAATATTCCTCTTACATTTTTCCAATTTCTTATTAATATGCCATTAACAACCCTGGTTTCCTAATACATAACCACCCATTGCATAGTAAGGAAATGAAAAGAATAACTAGCATCCTAATAGCATTGTAATTCCTAGTTTTCTATGACTTCACCCAGAAATTCAGAAGCAATTTGGGTTTTTCAGGCAAATCACCTCTGAATGCCAACATATTTCATGAATGCTATGCTACCTCCATAAACTGAGATTCTCAGTTTATTAATAAGTTATTAATAGTAACAATAATAACATCCTCAGTTAATACAGTAATTACTAGCATCCTCAGTTAATAATACAGTAATTATGACAACTAACATATACAGTTCCATTTTAAATGCTTCACATTATCAACTCAGTTCTTAAAACAACACATGACATCGGTAATTTCTCCCTCCCCCATTTTATAGATAACAAAACAGAAATTAAGTAACTTATGTGCAGTCATACAGTGGGTAAATGGCAAGGTCAGAGTTTTAAGGCAGATAACCTAGCTCCAAAGTCTACATTCCAATCATTACATTTCTATGCTTTTATAAAGGAATGTAACTTATGCTGAATTTAACCACACTGGAAAACATTATTAAAAACAAAGTTCTAGCATTTTATGTCAAATACTGCAATATTACATTTAGCATCAAGAGGAAGTTTCTGTTTATCTTAATTTGGAACCAACAGCTCTTCACTCAAGGATCACTATCACTGACTTTTAAAAGTTAACAACTTTCCTGCAAGTTGTAACAAGCCTAACTTACCCTTTTTCGATAGAACAACAAAAGAACATGCAACTTCAGACCCTCAAATATGTTTGAACACTTACTAAATAATACTTCAGGGAAGTGAAAACATGCTTATGTCTATCCAAGATCTCTCTCCCTCTTTCTCTACCTTTATTTTTTAATCATACATTCAAGTTCTGAACCGCTGATGGGATCTTTCCCATAGGAAGTCCCATAAGCTTAACCAAAGAGGTAAAAATCTGTACAAAGTATGGCATTGTTAAACTAGCATATGACACAACGAAATGGAAGATGTTCCTTTCCTACTCATAATGTTAATAAAGGAATTAACATTGCTAAAATGGCCATCTTAACCAAGTGATATATAGTCAGTTCAATGCATTCTTCAAAGAAAGAAATAGAACTAACATTACTAAAATTCACATGGATACACAATTTCCACTTGAACATGGTGTGAAATTTTTTGTATGTTGCAGAATTTTATTTGCTAATCATTTGATCATCTATAATCTATTTCAATCAGCTTTACATCTACATTAGGGGTAATAGTACTTTTCATATTTTGCATCATCTTCTCTTGTATTAAACCTATATTAAGCCTGTAAATTTTTTTTTGATAGGATGGCTATTTTAATAACGTTATTTCTTCCAATTCATGAACAAGGGGTGTCTTTCCATTTCTTTTAACAATGTTTTAAAACAGGGTAATAAAAACTAGTTTTATAAAAGCAAATAATTGGGACGTGTTCTCTCCTGAGTTTAAATATTTGGAAGAATTGTTCAGTGAAACAATCTAGGCCTGGATATTTCCTTTTTTGGAGTTGTTAATTATAAGTCCAATGGTCATAATAGTGAAAGAGAGTTTTAATCAAATTACTTATTTCACTCATCACAAGGAAAAACTGTGTGGTCAGAAAAACTAATAAAAATAATAAACTAGATTAGTAAAGTAGCAGGATACAAAATCAACACAAAAATCAGTAGCCTTCCTATATGAAAACAATCAATCTGAAGAAGAAATTAAGAAAGCCATTCCATTTACAGCTGAAACAAACAAAAGAAAAAAATCAAATACCTGAGAATAAACTTAACCACGAGGTGAGTTACCTATACAAAGAAAATTAGAAAATATTGTTAAATGAAACAGAAAGCACACAAAAATGTAAAGATATCCTCTGCTCATGGGTTGGAAGAAATAACATTATTAAAGCAGCCATCCTACCTAAAGCAATTTATAGGTTTAATGAAATCCTGTTAAAATTTTCAATGCATTCTTCAAAGAAATAGAACAAATATTGATGAAATGCATACAGAGCCACAAAAAAAAAAAAAAAAAAAAAACAACCTCAAATAGCAAAGCTTTCCTGACTAAATAGAAGAATGGAGCTATCACACTCCCAGACTTCAAGTTGTACTACAAAGCCATAATAATTTGAGGAATTATAAGAATCTGAATTCTTAAATTGCTGCTCTGTCCCTCTAGCCCTATCTTTAGCCCTTTACTTCCAGCTCCAGGAATACGCTACCAGACTTAAGCCTTTAAATGTATACTTCCCAAAAGCAAATGGCCAACAGGCATATGAAAGAATGTTCAATGTCACTTGTAATCATGGAAATGCAAATTAAAACCACAATGAAATACCACCTTACACCAGTAAGAATGACACATATTTAAAAAACAAACAAACAAACAAACAAAAAAACAGGGAATAACAAATGTTGGTGAGGATATGGTTAAAAAGGAACTCTCTTCACTGCTGGTGGGAATGCAAACTGGTCCAAACACTATGGAAAGCTGTGTAGAGGCTCTTCAGTCTACTAAAATTAGAGCTTCCACATGACCCAGCAGTTCCACTCCTAGGGATCTACCCAAAGGACACAAAAACTAATTCAAAAGGATACCTGCTCCCCTATGTTTATTGCAGTACTACTTATAATAGGTAAGATATGGAAATAACTCAAATCCTCAAAAGTAGATGACTGGATCAAGAAGATGTGGTATAAATACACAGTGAAATAATATTCAGCAATCAAAAAAGATAAACTCAAGCCACCAGCAACATGGATGGAGCTCGAAGGGATGATATTTAGTGAAATAAGTCAGAAGGAAAGAGAAAAATATGGGATGGTTTCACTTACAAGAGGAATGTAGGGGAACCAAATAAGGTTTCAGGAAAAAATTATAATGAAAAAATTAACACAAAAATATAAATGAGACACTCCACAGGGTCTAGGGGAGGGGAGGGATCAAAACAGGGGAGGACAGAGCACAAGGGACGATAGTGATGGTGCACAGGGGAGTTGGTGGTGGGAATTCTGTGGGGACTGTGCCTGAGAACGCAAATATTGTACAAAAAAGAATGACGCAAAACATTTATAAATTATATTTTAAAAATCTGAGTGATGACAGATGTTAATGAAACTTATTGTGATAATTATTTCAAGTCATTATGCTGTACATATTTGAAGCATTGTAGCATGGCTCTTTAAAGCCTTTGTTTGATAATTCTAATACCTCTGCATTTCAATGTTGGTATCTACTGGTTATCCTTTTTTTCTCCCTACTCAATTGAGATCTTGCTGATTCTCAAGTCTGAGGAATTTTCTGCTGAAATCTGGGTATTTTCAAATTATGAGAATCCAGACCTTATTTAAACCATTTTTGCTGGATTTCATTTATATACTCCAGTTTATTACTTTTAGTTGGAGCTAGAAAACCAGGAGGTCTTCATTCAGCATCAGTTATCATATAGCAGGTGAGATTCTTTGTTACAATGGGATGCTTTGAGACTCTATGTGGTTTCTATCCCACAGTGCAGGGTCCGGTTACTACCCGACCCTGGTAAAAGTCTCTGGCAGGGGGTAAAGGTGAACTCAGGGTGAGGGAAAAACCTAGGATCCCCATGTAATCTCCACTGAGACCACAAAAATGGTTCACTGCTGGCCATCAGGGATGAAAATCATGGCAACTCTGATCCCATCCCAGTGGGCACAGAGCCAAAGGCACCATAACCACACACTAGGTGTATATCCAGGCCCCCACTTGGCTTTTGCTGACATGGATGAGGGTAGGGCAGAGTTTCTTCTGTGGTGTGTGGTTGGACTACAGAAATTGTGGTCTACAAGTTTGCTTGCTTGCTTGAGAGAAAGCAGACTTTCGATGTCTGTGACCACTGGTGTTTCCAGGCTGCCAGTATCTTCAACTCCAACTTTAGGTTACCTCAGGTAACAAGAAACTACCCAGTGAACATAACAGAGTTGATTCTTGGTTGGTCCCAAGGGCCCATGGCCAATCTAACTTCTTTTCCCTTTTCAGAATATTTTTATATTTGTTTTCTATGTAATACCCGTATAAGATTTAGAGGAATATGGAAAAGCGCATCTATTCCATTTTCATGGAAGTTTTTAAGCAATCATATACACTAAATAACATTCAAAATTAAATATTAC